CCTACTACAATTGAACTAGAAATAAAGAAAGACACATAAAACTCTTTATGGAGCTGGTTCTTCAATCTGGTTCATGTAGCTTCTGGTTTGCACACTTGAATCACACACGAACTGCTTGCAAAAAGCCTTGCTATTTTGCTCCCAATTCACGTTTAACTTCTGTGTTTTTGTGCAACCCTTTAATGTGAGAACATCCTGCAATTTATAGAGTTAGTAGATGAAGAAATAACTAGAGTTCTGATGCAACTCTTCCTTGGTGGAAGAGTTCTAGTTGATTTCAACTTCTAACTCCTTCCCTATCTTGAATAGTGTTCTCTTTGATTAAGGACTCCTTCTCCTTATCAATTATGCAACCTTTTCGATCAGGAGATATTAAATACACCAAGTTAAGCTTATCTCCTTCACGTGCATCCCACATGCTTGAATCTGCCCGTTTTTGTGAACCTGAAGGATGGACTACTGGATGGACCTGATTCATGTCTGAGTTCCTTTGTCAGTCTTCAAAACTAACCTTTACTTGGGCCAACAGGCTGTTTGGCGGTGGTCGGGAGGTGCACGGGCACAAGCATTAGAGCAGCAGATATACGCCGGGTTCCGCAGCATCGGGAGTATACCAAGTCGAAAGTTCCAAGTTCTATTCGCGGGATTTAGTACCTCCCGCCTCCGGTTTCTCTGTCTCCTGTGTTAATTACTTTGTTGTCGTAATATTTCGTACTAGTCTAGTCAGTCTAGTAGTGGGCTTGTAGTTACTATTTGCTCCCTTTGTTGTTCTGTGTAGTGTTTTTTCTTTTTCATGTTTAGACCTTCGTAGGTATAGAGACTGTGGTTTGTAATGGCAGGGTAGGGTCATGTCCTAGGGGAGTCGGGTTGTGGGGAGGGGGTAGGGCAAGGGTCAGGGGGCGGGACGGGGCCTAAATGGGGTAAAGGGAACAAGATCGCCTATAGGTTGAGAATTGGATCGTGGAATATAGGGACGTTGTCGGGTAAGTTTTTAGAGCTGGCGAAGATTCTTCAGAAGAGGAGGGTCAATATAGCGTGTGTGCAGGAGACTAGGTGGGTAGGATCGAAGGCGAGGGATGCAGACGGGTATAAATTGTGGTTCTCCGGAGTCGTGAAGGGCAAGAACGGAGTGGGCATTTTGGTGGATAGGGAGCTCAGAGAGTCGGTGGTAGAGGTTAGGCGGGTGAATGACAGATTGATTGCGATTAAGGTAGTAGTTGGAGGGAGCACCCTGAATGTCATTAGCGCTTACGCGCCGCAAACGGGCTTGGACGAGGAGGTTAAAAGGTGCTTCTGGGAGGCGCTGGATGAGGTGGTGCGGGGTATTCCGCCTACAGAGAAGTTATTCATAGGAGGGGATTTCAATGATCATATCGGGTCGTCTGCTGATGGCTATAGTGAGGTGCACGGTGGCTTCGGCTTTGGTGATAGGAACAGGAGTGGTACCTCATGTTGGATTTCGCTAGAGCTTTTGAGTTGGTGATCGTGAACTCTATGTTTCCGAAGAGGGAGTAACATTTGGTTACTTTCCGAAGTATGGTGGCTAAGACTCTAATTGACTATCTCCTCCTCAGGAGGTGTGATAGGGGGTTGTGCGAGGATTGCAAGGTGATCCTGAGTGAGAACCTCGCGACTCAACATAGGCTCCTGGGGATGGACGTCGGTATCTTGATGAAGATGAAGAAAAGGTTTGTACGGGGTCAGTCGAGGATCAGGTGGGGAGTTTTGTCTAAGGATAATGCACGGGAGTTGGAGGGGCGGCTAACAACTATGGGTGCCTGGAAGAGTGGTGGGGACGCTAGCGCTATATGGACGACGACGGCGAACTATATAAGGGAGGCAACGAGAGAACTTTTGGGAGTTTCGAAAGGTTACTCGGGCGGGCACCGAGGCGACTGGTGGTGGAATGACGTGGTCCAAGGTAAAGTGGAAGCCAAGAAAGCGGCTTACATTAAGTTAGTAGAGAGCACCGACGAGGATCAGAGGAGAGCGAATAGAGAAAGATATAAGGAGGCTAGGAAGGAGGCGAAATTAGCGGTCACAGAGGCTAAGACTATTGCATTTGGTCGGCTGTATGAGGAACTTCGGGGCAAAGGTGGGGACAAGAAGTTATTTCGATTGGCCAAAGCGAGAGAGAAGAAGGCCCGTGACCTGGATCAAGTGAGGTGAATTAAAGACGAGGACGATCGAGTATTGATGGAAGAGGCCCAGATTAGGCAAAGATGGCAGTCGCACTTTCATAAACTTCTGAATGAAGAGGGGGATGGAAACATCGTGTTAGGGCAATTGGGGCACTCCGAGAGCCACCGGACTTTAGGTATTGTAGACGCTTTAAGGTTGAGGAGGTCGTGGGTGCGATGGGTAAGATAAGTCGGGGCAAAGCGATCGGATCAGATGAGATTCCAGTAGAGTTTTGGAGATATGCGGGTAGAGCAGGCTTGGAGTGGCTGATTGGGTTGTTTAATGTTATCTTCAGGACGAAGAGGATGCCTGGCGAGTGGCGGTGGAGTACAATGGTTCCGGTGTCCAAGAACAAAGGTGATATCCAGAATTGTAACAACTATAGGGGTATCAAGTTACTAAGTCATACCATGAAAGTTTAGGAGAGGGTGGTGGAAGGGAGGATAAGGAGGGCGGTGTCTATATCGGAAAATTAGTTCGAGTTCATGCCGGGTCGTTCTACTACGGAAGCTATCCACCTTATCAGGAGGTTGGTGGAAAAATACAGGGATGGGAAGAGGGATTTGCATATGGTATTTATTGACCTAGAGAAGGCGTATGACAAGGTCCCCAGGGACGTACTTTGAAGATGTCTAGAGGTGAAAGGTGTGTCGGTGGCTTACATTAGGGCAATAAAGGATATGTATGATGGAGATATGACTCGGGTTAGAACTGTGGGAGGTGACTCAGAGCCTTTTCCGTTGGTAATGGGGTTACACCAAGAATCTACGCTCAACCCGTTCTTATTTGCCCTGGCGCTGGATGCACTGACACACCATATCCAAGGAGAGGTGCCATGGTGTATGTTGTTCGTTGATGATATAGTTCTGATTGATGAGACGTGATGTGGCGTAAATGGGAGACTGGAGGTGTCACGACCCAAATCTACCATGTCGTGATGGTGCCTAACGTGAAACTAGGTAAGCCGACTCATTTATCAAACAACCCGATATTTCAAAATAAAGATTTCTTTAAGATATTTAATTAATAAAACTCATAAGATAATTCTGAATAACAAAGTGCGGAAAGAAAAGCCCGACATCGGGGTGTCACTAGTCATGAGCATCTACTAAAAATTGTCCGAAAATGCTAAGACTAATACAGTCTGGAAACCAACTAATAACATCTATAGGAAGATAGGAGGGAGAAGAGCAAGGCTGCGATCGCCATGCAGCTACCTTACTAACCCCAACAGATCCGCGACGGATGAAATCAACGCTTGCTAGCACGTCCGGCAACCTCTGGATCTGCACACAAGGTGTAGGGAGTAATGTGAATACGCCAACTCAGTAAGTAATAAAGGTAAATAAAGAGTGAGTAGTAAAAAAACACATAAAGTCCACATCATGAAGTCTCAGTAAGTACAACATGTTTTCAAATCAGTATGTGAGTCAAATCATCTCGTTTAAAATCCAGTTTTCAGTAAAAATTATTTGAAGATATTTTTCAACAGTTTCAAGAGAGGTTCAATGCAAAATAGAGTAAAAGTGATGAAAATCATAAATAGCCCCTCGGGCAAAACATCTCTCGTAGCAGCCCCTCGGGCGAACCTCACATCACTCACTCAGGGCACCCGCGCTCACTAGGGGTGTGCAGACTCCGTAGGGGCTCCTACAGCCCAAGCGTTATAATAAGCCACCTCGTGGCATAAATCAATCAGGCCCTCGGCCTCTCATAATCATAAATCAGTAACAACATGTTGCGGCGCGCAGCTCGATCCCATAATATCCTCACAAGAACAGGCCCTCAGCCTCACTCAGTCATAAACCTCTCAAGCCACTCGGTCTATCAGTAAAAATCAGGGTGCTCAGCTCAAAACAACATTTTATATGCATCAAAACGGTGTAATAAAGACTGAGTTATGAAATCAGTAAACATAGCATGACTGAGAATAGATTTCAATCAAAACAGTGAGAGAATAATAAGAAAAGGCCCCTAAGGGTCCAAACAGCTTTGGCACGAGGCCCAAATATGTCATTCAGCCCAAATTTATAGGAATTCTTTCTAAAACACATAAGTATCATAAAGTTTCAGTCAAATACGCAACTTAATAGTTGCTACGGGACGGACCAAGTCACAATTCCCAACGGTGCACGCCCACACGCCCGTCACCTAGCATGTGTATCACCTCAAAGTAGTAAAACGATGTAAAATCCGGGGTTTCTTACCCTCAGAACTAGATTTACAATCATTACTTACCTCAAACCGGTCAAATCCCTACTCCGCGACGCCCTTGCCTCTAGAATCGGCCTCCAAACATCCCGAATCTAACCAAAAGCAATATAGTGCAATCAATATAGGCCAAGGAACCAATCAATACAGGCCAAGGCAGGCCCTGGATTCTAAAGGTTTCAAGTTGAGTAGGACTAAGACGGAATTTGTCGAATGTAAGTTCAGCGACGTGACAGGGGAAGCAGATGCGGAAGTCAGGCTTGACTCACAGGTCATCCTCAAGAGAGAAAGTTTTAAGTACTTAGGGTCAATTATCCAGGGTGATGGGGAGATCGACGGGGATGTTACACACCGTATTGCGGTGGGGTGGATGAAATGGAGGTTAGCATCTTGAGTCCTGTATGACAAGAATGTGCCACCGAAACTCAAAGGTAAGTTCTATAGAGCGGTGGTTAGACCGGCCATGTTGTATGGGGTTGAGTGTTGGCCAGTCAAGAATTCACATATCCAGAAGATGAAAGTAGCAGAAATGAGGATGTTGAGATGGATGTGTGCGCACACTAGGCTGGATATGATTAGGAATGAAGATATTCGGGAGAGGGTGGGTGTGGCTCCGGTGGACGACAAGATGCAGGAAGCACGACTTCGATGGTTCGGACACGTGCAGAGGAGAAGCCTAGATGCCCCGGTTAGGAGGTGTGAGCGGTTGGCTTTGCCAGGTACGAGAAGAGGTAGAGGGAGGCCTAAGAAGTATTGAGCCGAGGTGATTAGACAGGACATGGCGCGGCTCCAGATTTTCGAGGACATGGCTCTTGATAGGAAGGTGTGGAGGTCGAGCATTAGGGTTGAAGGTTAAGGGTAGTCGAGCAGTTTTCCCCTTTGTCCCGGTTTCCCTCTTTGTACCGACGAGTATAATAGTGTTTTGTCTAGCCCTGCTGGCGATTTATGTTGTGTTTCACACTTTTGCATCATATTTATGTCACTGCTTTTCCATTTATTTGTTGTCTCTCACGTTGCAGATATTATTTTTCGAGTTTTGTTGTCACAGATCTATTGTCTCTGAGCCGAAAGTCTCCCGGAAATAGCCTCTTTATCCCCCTCCGAGGTAGGAGTAAGGTCTGCGTACATTCTACCCTCCCTAGACCCTACTGGTGGGATTTTACTGGGTTGTTGTTGTTGCATTGCTAACAGAACCTTTTATTAGTATATTACATTATTTAATATTTTTGTCTACCACTTTCTTTTTATAATATAATAGAAGATATATATTTTGTTACTCTTGAAATAGTTTTTTTATTTTAAATTTTATCCTATTGTTCTCAATAATATTATCTGAAATTTAATGAATAAAAATCTCTATTAAATTAATGAGACTTATATAGGCATTGAATAACTTTTTTTCATTCTGTATTTCTCTTTATTATATTATCCAATATTTAGTATTATTGCATTGTTAATAGAAACTTTTATTAGCATATTACTATATTAAAATTTTTGTATGCTATTTTCTTTTTTATAACATAATAGAAGATACATATTCTTTTATATTATATTTTATTCAATTATTCTCCATAATATTTTTTGAACAAATAAATATTTATTAAAATAAAAACAAAAATTATTTAAAAAACAAAGAAATTTTAAATTAGCATTATTTTTTGTTTTTTTTTTGTTTTGTAATTTTAGTTTTTTATTTAAAATAAATTAAAAACTCCAATTTGAAACTACTTTTCCAATTTCAATGGAAAGTTATTTTCTTAATTTTCATTTTTATTGTAGAAAATTTTATTTTATTATTTTATAGATATTTAAATTCAAAAATAATAACTAATAACTAATTATTAACTAAATAATTTATTATTAACTACTTATGCTTTGTGGATTTTTTCTAGGCTGCCACTTGGCTTAAGCCAATTACTTTTTCCTCTCCTTTTAATAATATATAGAAGATTTAAATTTTTGTATGCTACTTTCTTTTTATAATGTAATAGAAGATACATATTTTTTGTTATTAATTTTATTCTATTATTTTCAATAATATATTGTGAATAAATAAAAAATTTTAAAAGAAAAACATAAATTATTAGAAAA